TACTTAGGAGGCTGAGGCAAGAGGATTGCTTGAGCCCAAGAGTTTGAGGTTGCTGTGAGTTATGACACCATAGCATTCTACTCAGGGCAACAAAGTGAGATTCTGTCTCAGAAAAGGAGAGAGAAAAGGCACATTGTTTAATGCTTGCAATAAAATGTCCACCTGAGTAGAGGCTGACGAGGAGACACATCTGCCCTCACATCAGAGCTTTTGCTTGCCTAGAGGTCTGGCAGCTAAGATGCTGTCATGGGCCGTAACAGTTCTCTGGATTAGAGAAAGCTTGCCATGCTAGGGTCTCACCTCAGCCCCTCTGCTATCCAGTTTGAGCTCTTACATCAGGACCCTGAATAAAACCAGTGCCTGGGACCAAGACAGCCTGCTCCCCCTATCCCAGGGCCACACTAGGGTCCCTTGCAGTAGGAATCCAGGGAGGGGTGAAAGGCCTCACTGCTCACATCTCCCCTCAGTTCACCCCTCCTGAGAAACAAGAGCCTTCCATCCTAGTACACCCCACCCCACCCCCCACCTAGAAGAGGCAGCCAGGAACAAGGCCCCAGGCCACATGGCTTGCAGGTGGCACTATGATAAGGGCAACTATCCAAGTTATTGAGATAGTTGCTGGTTCAGAGAGCCAATACTCCCCATCCCTCCCTCTCCTGCATGCAGACTACACTTGGACACCTGGGTCTTCCCCACACTCTTTATTTGTTAGTCACTCTCCTCTGCCTCAGATGTGGCCCCTGCCACCTCTGACATGCACACATTGGCAGTGCCTCTCAGACTGGGACCCCAGCAAGGGGATGATGCAGTGCCCAGTACCCTCAAGGACCAAAAAAGCAGCTAAGAGTTGAAGTCTAGGGGAAGGAGTCCAAGAAGTTCAAGAAGACTGCTAGGATTGGGGTTGGGGATCCTCAGGAGGTAAGAGAGCTCAGAAGTCCATGGAGGTGGCTCGGGTCGGGGCAGCCCCGCAGTGAGGCAGTACTATCCAAAGAGAGCTGTACGTTGGTGATTCTGGCACTTCTGCCTCCAACCCTGGTGTCCCTCTTGCACACACCTGAAGTGGTACCTCAGACAGAGGTATTGCCTCCTCTGAGGTTCCCTGTGAACAGGCCTCTGTCGTCCCAGCTTCACTGGGTGACCATAGCCCCAGGGTTGGGTAACATCTCCCCTGAGCTTTGTCCCTTCAGTTTAGGAAGGTGGCAGCAACTTTCTGCTCTTGCTCACATCTGGGCTGCTCATTGTCCCATCTGTCCCATTGGCAGCCACCAACCTGCCTGGTACTACAAATTCCCTGCACTCAACTCCTGGTGTTGAAATACAGTGGTGTCTCCATCCCTAGTCAAACCTGCCCAAAGAGATGTCTAAAGGGCAACCCCCATCAAAAATTAAACTTTTGATCTTCCCCACAAGTCCCTGTCTGCTCCATTATAAATGACCCCACATCCCTATGCTTCCGACCACAAGTTAGGGCTCACCCTGGATTTGTCCCCTCCCTCAGCCTGACATCCACATACATTCTGCATCCTGACTGCCACCATCCTGACCCAGCCCTCTGTCCCTGTCCCCGTTGCCTCTCTTGTCCCCTTCAATCCATAGCTGGGTGACTTTTTAAATAGGTTTGTCGGATCCTGTGGCTCCCTCTCATAAAACCGTTCGATGGCTTCCCATTGCCCTGAGAATTAAACCCCAAATCCCATCTGGACCTTAAGAGATCCTGACCCTGCCTGTCCCCAACCTCATCTCCTCACACTTGGTCTGAGTCACACTGGCCAGTTTTCTGATGCTTTTCAATGAAATAAGCTGGTTCTCACCTCAGGGCCTTTGCCTGTGCAGTTCCCTCTGCCTGAAGAGTTCCTGAAGCTCTTTCCATTCTTCTCAGTCATTCTCAGTGTACCTTCTCAGAATGCCCAATCAACTACTCTATGGCCCCTTGCAGCCACACCCCATTGAGGTCTCACAGCACTTATCCCTCTCTGAAGCCATCTTACTTGTCTATGTGTGCATGCAGACATGTACCAGCATGCCGACTGTCTCACTGCACTAGGACCTAAGTCCCATGACATCAGGGAACCTCGCTTCTTGGTTCCTGCTTTGCCCCATGCCTACAACAGTGCCTGGCACATAGGTGCTCAATAAATAGCTGCTGAATGCAGAACAAAGGAGGCCCTGTCTAGGGACCCCTGGGGAAGGGAACCAGCAGTCTCTGAGGAGACAGTGTCCAGGGGCCCCCAGGTGGAGGGGCCCCAAATCCAGGGCAGCCCCACTAGGCAACTCAACTGCTATAGCTGAGGACCCTGCAGCAGGTCAGAGGGACATGCTGGTGAGGTTGTCCTGGCTCAATAGTCCCTTCCGGCCTGCTCCAGCCCCATGCCCACTTCCCCCAGCACCCCCACTGCCCCCACAGTACTCATGCAGCCTGTGCCGCAGCGTGACAAGGGCTGACCCCAGGCAGGCACCATTAGGTGCATGGGGCCCACCAGGCAGCTGGAGCAGCAGTGTGGCCACACCAGCCATGCCATCCTCTGTAGGCTCAAGAGTGATAGGCCCAGCTCGCAGGCCAGCAGTGGTGGCAGGGATGGCTGGTGGGCAGCAGCCCCCTCCCATGGGTCCCCAGGGGCCACCAGCCCCTGTCAGCAGCAGGGGTGCCAGGAAGGGCTCTGAGCGGCGGAAGGCAGGTGGTGGGAGGCCAGCTGGCTTCCAGGCGGGGGCTGGAGCAGTAGGATCAGGAGGGAAGCAGACAGTGACCTTCGCAAAGGGGCGGCTAGCCATCTTGGTCATCTCCTGCAAATGTCGGCGCTGCTCCTGCCGTTGGTCTAGGGCCTGCTTGGCCTTCCAGAGAAGCACACAGAGTGAGAGGAAGAGGAAGAAGCAGGAGAAGAAGACGGAGAAGAAAACAAACAGGTCAATGTGGGCCTGGTCCTGACGGAAGAAGAGCAGGCCCTGCGAGTCAGCTGAGCCATTGGCACCGGGCCCACTTGGGTCTCCCACACCCAGTAGCAGCAGGTAGAAGCGGCTGGACTTGAGGGCGTGGTGTTCATGTGGGTAAGTGATGACCAGCCGGTCCCGTACACCACGGACCACGAGCACTGCCGACGGCTCGGTCACTGTCACATAGGTAATCAGGCCCCGTGGCCACACCTCTCGTACCCGTGGCTCCACCAGGGTGCCCAGCCCACTCCCAGCCCCTGGTCCCCCTGGATCCCCAGCTCCCCGGGGCCCTCCATCAGCAGGGGGTGGTGGTGGGGGAGGAGGGGGCGGGGGCTGGATGTGCACAGTGTGGACGCCAGTGTCAGGAGCCACACGGACCACAAAGGTGTCATAGGAGGTGGAGACATAGAGGTCCACAGCACCGAAGGTCACGTCCAGCGTCAGGCGGATGTCTACATTGGTGAATTTGGGTTGCACACCAAAGAGGACGGTGCGGCCAGGGCCCAGTGCCCGGCGCTTGGGCTCATGGAAGCAGTTGGTCTGGGATGTGGGGTCCAGGCAACACTCCTGCTCCACTGAGATGAGGCGGTAGCACTGCTGGCCACCCAGCGGGCTTCCATGGAACGATTCACGGCACTTGGCACACTGCAGGCAGGGTGGGGGCAATAGAGTGGCACTCAGCACTGAACTTGGTGCTAAACTATCACCTAAGCAGGACTGACTGATGTCCTGTACCTGTTAGTAAGTAGCTATTGCCCTGGAGCCCCTCTGCAGTGCCCCAGTTACTTCCCTGTGACCTTCCTGGAGTCCCCGGGCCACATGTAGATGCTGCCAGGTCCCATACACTAGCGCTGCTGTCCCTAGTGTAACCCTCACTGCACCAGCACCTGACACTGAGGTACAGTGAGGAAGAGCTCTGTTGAATTCTGATAGTAACTCCTCACTAGCTCTGTGGCTTGGACTAGTGACTTAACATCACAGAACCTGAGACTGCACACAGGTAGCAACCGTAGATTGCTGAAATCACCTACATGGCAATAGACGTGGGATCAGCCAGCCTCGCCCACCTGCCTGGCTGTTTCTGGACGGTTATGCACACTCCCACCTCAGGGCCTTTGTACTGGCTGATCCTCTCCTGGTTGGCTATTCTCCCACATGTCTGCATGGTCGGCACCATCAGGTCCTAACTCAAGTGCCCCCTGCTCACTGCTCTTCCTTTGCCACTGTATCTACCCTCTCCACTCCCTAACATAGCCTAGCCCCCTCTCTGCTTCATTTTCCTTCTAGCTGCTCATCACTGTCTAACACACTGTGTCTGACTCACTCATGTATTCACTGCTGGACTCCTCCATGCAAGAATCAACTCCTTGAAGACAGAATATTTTGCCTGCTTTGCTCCTTCCTGTGTCCCTAGTGCCTTGCCCAGGTGTGTGGCATATAGTAGGCACTCGATAAATATGTGTGGAATGAATGAGTGGGTAGGTGGATAATAGCTATTATGATTCCTATAGCTTAGCAAAAACCACTAGAGCTCTGGGATCAGACCACAGTCAATAGAGACTCCGAACCTAGGCTGCCTCACCTGGAACAGGCCATTTAATGTTTCTGAGCATGTTTTCTTCTTATGTCTGCACCTTACCAAGTCCCCAGTATAGCCCTGCCAAGCCTTCCACATCGGTGCTGTTGACACTGTCTCCACAGCACAACTCCCAGCTTGGTGGCACCAGGCACTCTATAGATACTAAGCTGTCACTGCTATTCTTATTAAAACTGAAAGAAATTGCATTCAGGCTGAGCACTGCAACTCACGTCTGTCTGTAATCCTAGCACTCTGGGAGGCCGAGGGAGGTGTATTGCTTGAGCTCAGGAATTTGAGACCTGTCTGAACAAGACTAAGTAAGACCCCTGTAGCTACTAAAAATAGAAAAAACTATCTGGGCATGGTGGTATATGCCTGTAGTCACAGCTACTCAGGAGGTTGAGGCAGGAGGATCCCTTGAGCCCAGGGGCTTGAGGTTACTGTAAGATACAATGATGCCATGGCACTCTACCCAGGGCAACAAAGTAAAAAGCTGTCTCAAAAAAAGAAAAAGATGCCAGCATGGTAGCTCACACCTCTAATCCCAGCTCTTGAGGCAGGTGGACTGCCTGAGCTTCTGGGTTCAAGACCAGCCTGAAGCAGAGTGAGACCTCGTCTTTAAAAATAGCCATGCGTTGTGGTGGGTGCCTGTAGTCCTAGCTACTCAGGAGGCTGAGGCAAGAGAATTGCTTAAGCCCAAGAGTTTGAAGTTGCTGTGAGCTGTGACGCCACAACACTCTACTTAAGGCAACAAAATGAGACTCTGTCTCAAAAAAAAAGAAAGAAAAAGAAAAAGAAATGGCTACTTCAAGCCAACAGACCTGCTAAAGGAGAAAGTCTAACTAATCTCTGGGACTTTCTGGTAGAAGCCAACAGGTCTTTTGCTCATCAAGAAAGTAAAAATTGTGGCTCGGCGCCTGTGGCTCAAGTGGCTAACGTGCCAGCCACATACACCTAAGGTGGCAGGTTTGAATCTAGCCAGGGTCTGCCAAACAACAATGACAGCTGCAACCAAAAAATAGCCAGGCGTTGTGGCAGGCGCCTGAGGTCCCACCTACTTGGGAGGCTGAGGCAGGAGACTCGCTTAAGCCCAGGAGTTGGAGGTTGCTGTGAGCTGTGATGCCACAGCACTCTACCCAGGGGGACAGCTTGAGGCTCTGTCTCAAAAAATAAGAAAGTAAAAATTGTGATCCAGCATGGAAATGTTAGGGGTCAGTAAAGTTATAAAACTATTGTCATTTTGGATGGAATTACATCTTTGCAGTTATGCTGTTTCTGCAAATAGGTATGGAAGACTAAGAGCAAGGGCCTTTCTCTTTCCTCTGGAACTAGGGAGAGAAAATGGGTGGAACCGTGGGGGCAGCAAGAAGGCAGCATGGGAGAGACTTCTCATGGGAAGTGAGTTTCCAACATGGCAACCAGCCAGGTGGCCAGTACAGGTGCTCCAGGAGCTTCCCTGAAGAAAAAAAGGGTAGGCTCAGCACCTGTAGCTCAGCGGCTAGGGCACCAGCCACATACACTGGAGCTGGCAGGTTTGAATCCACCTAGGCCTGCCAAACAACAATGACAATTACAACCCCCCCCCCAAAAAAAGAAAAAAAAAATAGCCGGGAGCTGTGGAGGGCACCTATTGTTCTGGTCACTTGGGAGGCTAAGGCAAGAAAATTGTTTGAGCCCAAGAGTTGGAGGTTGCTATGAACTATGATGCCACAGCACTCCACCAAGGGTGACATAGTGAGACTCTCAAAAAAAGGGGGGGGGGTGCAATTTGAATCTGGGTATCAGAACTGAGATCCCCTGTTAGTCTCAGGCCATCAGTTGGGGGCTACCACCTGGGGAGAACTTGCCTGAGAAAGAAGCTAACAAAAAGAAAAGCAGTATCAAGGTAAAGACATCAAGGAAACAGAGACTCCTGATGTCACTGTGTGAGCACCTGGATCCAGCCATTCCTGAACAGAGACCCAGCCATTTCTGAAGGCAGATCCAGCCATTCCTGAAGGCAGAATCTGGATCTCAGTTTTTAGAGACAATACATTTTCTTTTCTTGCCTAAGCTACTGTGAGATATATTTTGTGGCATTTGGAACCTTCAAGTTATAACTATTTGTAAATGGAGAGCCTCCCAGAGGCTTATATCTAGGTCCCCAGCATCACTAGGCCTAAAACTTGACTGGGCCTCAGGAACAATCTATCCAGCTGACCTTGATCCCAAGACCATGTTACAGGTCCTTCCCAGATCTGGTTACCTCATCCCAGCTCTGACCTCTTTGGGGTATGGGACCCCCCCTCAACCCATAACCTGCTTCTCCAGCCACACCTGGTACTTGTAGCAGTCTCGGCGGTCACTGGGGGAGCTTCCCTGGCACGTGCCTGTCTCTGTGTTGTTCTGACATGGACAGCCTGTCCCATCTTGCTCATTACATGTGTCTGCGTGGCCATTGCACTGGCATCTGAGGATGGGAAAGAAGATGAAGGTTACAGACCCACGGGGGCCCAGCCTGGATGCTGCATATGTGAGCTCAATTCTGCGCAATAGGCCAGAAAAGGAGACTGAGGCTCATGTATGTCAAGCCATTTGTCCAAGCTCACAGAGCAGTTAAGTAGCAGTCAGGATTAGAACCCAAGATAGACTGACTCCAGAGAACATGCAGAAGAAAGGAAATGGAATGGGGAGGTTGTTTCAAAGCTTCTCCTCTCAGCCACCCTCTCTTTGCCCACCAGTCTCAATTGGGCTGCTCTTTAGCCTGCATTTCAGCACAAGCCTTGGAGGGAGAACATTTGCATTGAAGTCTACTTCCTTCCCCCTAGCCCTGCCCCAGACTGAGGGGTCCTTGGGGATTTCATCCTCTACTGACTAAGGGCAGAGGACTGTGGGGAGGAGGGGTCTGGCTCCAGAGCTATTCTTAATGAGAAAGATGAGGATTCTGGACGCCCTTCGTCTCACTTGGTGCATTTCCCATCCAGAAGGAAATAGCCATGGAGGCAGCTCTCGCATTTGTCCCCATAGCTGTTATTCTGGCAGTTCACGCATACAGCCTCGTCTTCACTAGGACCCTCTGTCACCCAGTTTTCAATCTGGCCAAAGAAAGACAGGGCAATCACAAAAAAGCATGAACCAGCCCCCTCCTCCCTCAGATCCAGAAGTCCGCATCCGCCCCCCACCCTCAGTTGGGGACTCAGCCTCTTTCACCTCCTCTGGATCCAAAGAATACTTTTCTGGCTCCTTCTTGGCCATTTCAAGCTCCTTCCTGGAGACGCAGATGTGGCTATTTCCACGACAAAAGGCATGGCAGGGCCGGCATGTCCCGCCCCCCACGGCTGAACCCACGAACAGCGGGAGGCACTGTTCACAGTGGCTGCCCTAGGAACCCAGGACAAGGTTGTCAGGAAGGTTAGAGAGTAATTGCTGGGGGTAGGTTCTGGTTGCACACAGGAGGACAGCAAGGGCTTGAGTAAATGGTTTGGACAATCCTAGCCAGTCTGTGATTTGGCCCCTGCCTTCACTTACGAACTTTGCCTCCTAAAGTCCTTAGCTCAAAAAGCTCTACCCTACACTATCCCAAATCTTCCCCATATGCCCACCTTCTCTGGCCCTGCACCCATTCTGACCACTGCTCCAGGGCTGTCCCTCTGTGATACAAAACAAGATGGCAGCCCCAAAGTCTTCCCACATCTCCCCAGCCAGGGCTCTGCCACTGCTCCCCCACCCCTGGCTTATCTGGGCTCAGAATGAGGCTCAAGTTGCCTAAGCATGGGATGAAGGCAAGCAAGGGCCTGGGTCCTGCGGTCAGGGGTCTGAGGCCCCAGGCAACCCACCTTGGTGTGGTTACGGCAGAGCAAGCAATGGTCACGCGCCCCCACGCCAGCACACTCGCTGTGGCGGTTGCAGCGACATTCTGTGGAGCAGTTGCGACCAACAAAGCCGAAGTGGCAGCGGCAATGGTCAGGCTCCACACATGAGCCATTCACACAGCCCTGGGCACACACTGGACGGCAAAGCCCTGTCACACTGCCGGAGTAGTGGGGGTCAGGGCAGGTGTGGCCCTTCCAAGAGGTCATCCTCCTCACACCTCCATAGCCTAGGCCCCCACCATTCAACTCCCTTCTCAACTAGTTGCTCTTCCCTGGTCTGTTTAGTCACTATCTCCTCTTCAGGGTCTAGCTCACCACAGCCCACAACCCTCCTTCTGGGGCATGTATTAAACTCACTTATCCCTGGTCTGGCTCACCACCTCTTTCCCTCCTTGGCCAAGCCAACCATGCACACCCTTCCTGGACAAATTTCACCACTTTCCTGCCTTGGACTTCCTTTTCTCCCATCCTGCTTTGCTCTAGACCTCACCCTAGTCTGTCTGGGCCTGCTCCTCCACCCACCCACGCCCTGGCCTACAGCCTCACTTGTCCATGGTGTAGCCCGTCTTGCAGCTGCACTCGTAGCCATGGGGCTGGTCATGACAGTTCTGTGTCTCATTGCAGTCATGGTGCCCATTTGCACACTCATCCTCAGGGGGACAGGACAGGAAGGCCCAGGAGGTCCCAGGACGTCCACACGTCAGTCCTAGTACCAAGATACAGGGCTTCACCTAAGGGTGAAGGCTTCACCTCTGCACCATCCACCCCCAGCCACCTAGGTCCCCACTCCTACTTCCTCTGAGCCCCACCTCTGGGTTTGGCTCAGCACCCCCATGTTCTCCACACCAGACCCCAGCTAAGGGCCAGCCTTTCCTGCCCTACACCTAAACACCTCTCACCATCACGGGGGCCACTGAGTCCACCCTCCATGCAGCGGCCACTCCCATCCTGGCCCCCCCAGGCACACCAGCCACAGTGGGGGCGCCGCAAGCACAGGGCACACTGGGTTGCCTGGGCACAGCCCAGGGAGCAGCTCTCCGGTCCCTGGAGCAGCCGCCCACAGCCTCCAGCCATACATCGCAGCTGCAGGTAAGAAGGACTCAGACACTAAAAAAAAAAAAAAAAAAAAGAAGGACTCAGACACTGTATGAGAGAGGGGGTGGGGAAGAGAGTCAAGCAAACATATTCTGGATATCTTCACTGACCACATGTCTTCTCTGAGGTCTTGTTCCTCCCTGGCCACAGTCAGGGGGACTAGCTAGGTTATCATAGTCTCCCTCTCAAGCATTTGGAACTAGACATTAAGACCGTAAGTTGGGCCAGGTAGGTCCTTGAAATGGAAAGGACTTGGGCTGGAGGGAGGACTGTGTGGGTAAGAAAATAACGTGAACATGCAGAGGCAGGAAAGAACAGCTGCAGAAAGAAGCAGAGATAAGAACCATGTACCTCAAGGACAGATAGAAAAGAACTTCCGAGGTTCTATCTCCAATTCCTGGTGAGGCCTGGCTGCACTTTCTACCCTAGGTTCCAAAAGGCGCCATTATATTGGTGCAGGGGTTCCCTTTTCCTACCTAGATAAGGGCACTTAGTTTTCTTACAGCTCAGGAAGGCAACAATCCCAGGTGGGCACAGAAAAAGAGTATCAGGAGTGGGGTTATAAACCATAGTCACTTTGGCTGCTGGGGCAAAAAGTCTTCTCCCACCACAGGCTGGGAAGCTGAGGTTAGGAGCCAGGTAGCAACTCCTATCCAAACTACATGCACGATGGTAGGACTCCTGAGAACTTACCTCAGTGTATAAGAGTATTTTATTTATTGCTTGGGCCTAAAGTGAAGTATAAAAAGAAAGAGATTAATCTGTACTGGCTGCCTAAAAGCACTTAAGAGAAAGCAAAGCAACCATGTAATCCGGAAATAGAAACCCTCAAAGCTGGAGCTTTGAGTCCACTGAGGGTCAAAGCCTGCCATGAGCTGAGCCTTTCTGAGATGCCAAAGAAGCCTCTGCCAGACTGGGTTTCTAGATCTAAATTTAGTTTACCCTTTGGCAGATGGTGGGGCAATCTGAGAGGGGTAAAGAACTGGAATTCTCAGTGCTGTGCAGCACTTTTTGCTGTGACATCCCTAGTGGCCAAATGTGATGACACTCAACACTGCAAACTGCATTTCCTATATTCCGAGAGCAGGCCTCTAGTTTGTCTGTGACAAACCTCACAGCCTAACAAAGTGAATTCATTAAAGAGAGGGAGAATGGCTCGGCGCCTATAGCTCAACCGGCTAAGGCGCCAGCCACGTACACCTAAGGTGGCGGGTTCGAATCCCCAGCCC